GGCACAGCAGGGCCAGCGGCAGTGCTGGTGCTGTTGGAGGAGCAGGGACACAGACTTGGTGCTGCAGCCCCAGCTGAAGCTGAAACCAAATCCTTCCAGGCAGGAAAAGGAGTTGTCTTTATTCAGAAGCAAACTGATCTGCTAGCAGAGGACAGCGGGTTGGGAGACGTCCATCGAGTCAGGAATTCAGGAACCCCTTGGCACGGCCTCAGCTGCGGGCGACGCTGGATCCCACCCCGTGCTGCCGGGCCCTGGGTGCTGCTGCCTGTTGGCTGCCTGCACCATGTCCCTGCCTCAGACTTTCTGGGCAGGTTTGGGGTAGGACCAGTTGAGTACAACGTCCGTGAAGGCCGAGGGCAGGTAGCTGAGGGGGATGTAGAGCAGCTTGGCATCCCAGCCTGCGGAGTAGCGGGTGCGTGGGAAGCAGCTGGTCAGCGCGTGCTCCATGCAGTCCGTGACCAGCGTCAGGTTGGAGTTGCATTTCTTCTGCATCTTCCTGACCTCTACCAAAACTGTGGGGGCAGAAAGCACCAGTCAGGCCACCGGGCTTAGACCCTTGAGCCAAATGCAGTGGAATGGCTCTGTGGGATGACGGGGCAGTAGGACACCCCAGGGATGTGCCTTGTGTCAGGAGAGGAACAGCATCTCTCAACCTTTAGGTGAGTTACTTACACTCCTTCAAGTAATTCTCCCCATAACTTGCTTTGGTTTCCTTTGGGATCTTCTCCCAGATGGAAACAAAATTATTCTCCATGCTCTCCATGTTGGTGATCATTGTCTTGAAGTAGCCTGGCTCGATCACACTGACCTTCACCCCGAAGCTGCGCATCTCAAGCCTAGAAGGGATGGAGCTCGTGGGATGCAGAGCAACACCCGAGTGCCCCCGCTGCCCACGGGGACAGGCACCGGCTCTCACATGGGACACACAGCAGCCTTGTGCTGGAGCTACGGTGGGAGCCCGACCACCCCAGCAGACCCTGTGCCAGCCCCAGCACGTGTCTGAGGTGGTGTGTGAGCAAACATCTGCTGAGTCTGGATGGGAGATGGGGCCAGAGCAAACCTTGGGACCATGGGGCCACTGCCCGCAAGATCTGGTGTGGGGGCGAGGTCCAGTGGGGGAAGTTCAGTGCCAGGACAAGTGGTGCCAGCCGGTGTTGCCACAGCCTCCCTGCTGCTGGGAACTCACCAGGCAGGGAATGAAATTGAAGCTCTGCCAAGCCCTTTGCCTTCCCTTCCCCAGGGCTGCCACTGCACCAGCTTGGCTGAGAGCAGAGCGGGGGCTGCCAGCAGCCGTCGAGGCTCCCCCAGGGCAGG